TGGAAGTTTGGTTTTAATACATATAATAATATGTCAGGTTATCACATAACAATATTTCATAGGACTTCACAAAGATTTCTGTAAAGTGTAGTGACTATTTGTAGGTGAATGCAGAAGCTAACTTGCGCACAACAGCATTATTGAAGCGAATGACCAATTTGTCTGTGGGATTGTTGGCCACAATACCAAAGCAAAAACCTTTTATTCTTAAGTAATGCCACAGGATCTTTAACATCCAACTGAATAGGCAGACATCTTAGTTTAACATCTCATTTGCAAGGACGGTACCTCCAACAATTCTCTGGCATTACATTGGAATGTCAGTCTAGACATTAGGCTCAAAATACTTGCATGGGGCTTGAACCCAAAAGCTTCAGAGGTGATAATGAACCAATCAAACCAGACATCTTTTTATTCATGGTCATTCACGTCCCTCATTAAGCATCGTCCACAATCATTGTAGGCTGACTAAATTGCATCTTTTTACAGTGAACAGAGCAAATTGAGAAGAGATATAATTGTTTCATTCTAAAGGTAAAATGGCTAAATAGGGAAAAAAAATGACTTCCTTTGTTGGGTCAATTTAGTGAAAGATGAATGTAGCTGCAGGAGTTTGGGCAGAGTAATCAGGAAAAAGGTTAGAAGGAATTTCTTCACCCAACTAGTGGTTAGGGCACAAAAGTAGTTATTTCATTATCACAAGTGGCTATTGAGGCTGGACCAATGGTATCATTCAAAAAGGAATGGGATAAAGACTCATCAGAAATGTAAAAACATTAAGAGATATGGGGTAAGAGTCACAAGTGAAAGTAACAAGAAAAAAATGTGGTCACTCAATCCACGATCGTTTGTGGAACACTGCTGCATGCAATCAGCTGCCATATTTGGGCCATAAAATATACAGTTACTCCATTTCACAATATATTCTGTGAAGTGCTTTGAGACGACTCAACAACGTGATAAAGTGCTATATCAAATGCAAGGATTATTACCAACAAGAAGGACAATTTAAGAAAAACACAGAGGTAGTAGCAATGCAACAGATGCGATAAACCTTTTGTGATTTAAAAAACTGTTTCTAAGTACTTTACCAATCCTGTATCCTCCTACACCCTCTCCATCACACATTTTTGGTTGTTGATTTGTCCTTCTCGGATGCACACTTTTGCCTGTTGACCTTTGCATATTGTAATGAGCACATCAGCCACACACACACAGTCACAATTTCATCACGTAGTTTTAAAACATTCACAGATATTGTCTTCGAGAATTTTTTTACATTAATTAAAAATTCACTAAAGCCTTTTTTAAAAAAAACTACTCCTTTAAAATCACATATTAATAAACACTCACAAAAAAAAACCCAAGAGACGACTTTTTTCCTAGGATGCCAGAATGCATAGCATCGTTAAAATTCAATCACAGAACAATGTTCCATTCTTTAGCAGGTCGTCGCTGCTCTACAAGAACATAGAAGCTACAGTGATTCCATCAGCATGGCTGACCTCCTATGTGCATCAAGAGTAGGGGACATTAGCCACATTTCCATACTGTGGTAAAGCTGATAAATCTAAACCCTCTGCGGTTCCTTATTTGTAAGACAGTTTTATTGATTCCTTAGTTCAGCCAGAGCTATGAATAAATTATGTGGCAGTGACAAACAACTCATACGTGTTGATGAATGAATAGGAAAGGAGCTGGTTATATATGCAATTCTTTTTCTATTACATTGGAAATTTTTATAGCAATTTGGTCATGGCTCTCCATAAACAATGCAGCTCCTTCAGCTAAAAGCTGCAAGATCAGCAACCTCTCAAGAGTTTGTTTTCTCAGGAAGAAGATTCAGTCATACATATTTTAAAAACAAAAGCAAGACTGAAATAGATTATGTTCTGAAAACATGATGTGCAGTTTCTCTTTATCCCTTTTTGAATAAAAGCTGCTCAAGCTTTATCAACTATTCTGTCACTAGAGAGATGAGCAGTGAAACAAACCATGGTATTGCTTGCAATAATGCATAAGACACTCTGTGGCTAGCATGGGATGCTAAAACAAGATTGCCTAGCTCTTAAGAGTTTTCTTCATTTCATTGTCAGCATCCTGAACACCACTAGATTCGTTGGCATGCACAAGCTCCAAAATGCGCATTTACCATCCTTGAAGGTGCTGTGGCATTATGAATCATGGATATGGGGATGCCCCATTGGGTGTGAGATGGGGATGCCACACAGGGTGGGAGATGGGGATGCCACACAGGGTGGGAGATGGGGATGCCACACAGGGTGGGAGATGGGGATGCCACACAGGGTGGGAGATGGGGATGCCACACTCAATTGTTGTCAGGACATGGAGAGGAATTCCTCTTTTTGAATAATATTATAGTGTTAACATTTGACACTCCAGCATCCGTATTGTATGCTTCAAAAGGCATTCTGTGGGATCCATAACATCATTAAGCACGGTGTCCCAACTTCTACAGCACAGAAACAGGTCATTTGGCCCAATTAGCCAGAGCTGGTCTGGCTAATTGGATCAAATGGCTAATAATAATAACTTGGTTACTCATTCCATGACTGCTTGTGGGGCACTGCTGTGCATAATTGGCTGCCACAATTCACCCACAAAATATAGTGTCAATCCACTTTACAACATATTCTGTGAAGCGCTTTGAGATTACTCAAAGATGCACTAAGGCGCTATATCAAATGCAAGGATTGTTATTAGGCTTCCGTCCCTCTTATTCCCTCTCCTCTTCTTCCTTTTCCCTCATGTATGCATCAAGTTCTCTTAAATACATTGATGCTTTTTGCTGCAACTACACCTTGCAATAGTGAACTCTAGATTCTCACCACCCTCTGAGTAGAGATGATCCTCCTCAATTCCCTTTTAAATCCTCTCATGATTTATTTTATTGGTGTGGCCACCTTACTTACAAAGAAGTGGAAACAGCCTATTAACGTTCACTTCATTGAATCCTTTTGTAATTTCAAAGACTCTATCAGGTCCTCTCCCAATCATCATCTGCAGAGAGAAAATCTCCAACTAGTCCAACATTTCTTGATAGCTGCATCACTTATGCATGGTAACATAACTTCACTTTCTCCAATGCTACAATACCTTTCCGCAGTATAGCTACCAGAACTGCATCTAGTACTCTAATCAAGGTTTAATATAAATGTAACTTCACTTTTCTACATTTGTACTCTATTCATCTGGTCAGAAAGCCAAAGACTTTATTGCACTTTTTACAGCCTTGTCCACCCTGGTTTTAGCCATGAGCCCTTCAGATGAGACGTTAAATTGAGGTCCCATCTGCCTCTTCAGGTGGAGGTTAAAGATCTTATTGCATTTTATTCAAAAAGAGAAGAGAGTTTCTCCTGATGTCCTGCCCAACAATCCCCAAATAAAAAAATTGGTCTCTTACTCCATTGCTGTTTGTGGGACATTGCTGTGCACTAAACTGCCTCCTGCATTTCGACCACAAAATATACAGTCATTCCACAATAAATCCTGTGAAGTGCTTTGAGATGTCTCTACGGGACACGATAAGGCACTATATCAAATGCAACAATTATTATTTTTTATTATTATGAGTCTTTTTTTGTGACACCTTATCAAGGCCTTCTGGAAGTCCATATAACCTACATCCATCAGATTTTCTTTATTATAGAGACAACATATTAATTATGAGGTGAGGAAATTATTCTCAAATTGCTATTTCTGATACTCCATAAACTTTGACTTGATTGAAACAGCCAGAGACTCAATAAATGTAGGCTTTATCTGCTCAAATTCCTCAAAACCTTTGCCCCTTTAGGTCAATTAGTTCACTGTGAGGTCAGAATGTGTTTATGAAATAAAAACCAAGATTAAAAAGGTAAAAGGTTTGAAGATAAAGTTGTTGATCATTGTGCTAATGGCAATTTATAAATTATATTCCATTAAAGTGCAGGAGCTTTCAATCATAAAAGTTCCATTACCTTTAGCAAAAATGCAATTCCTTAAAAAAATTAAAATTCAAGCACTTATAATTTACAGATCATTGCAAGTTCTCTTTCTGTCAGCTTTGATTAAGTAGCTCCCTCAGAGGTATATTTACTTTTTTTTTGCAAGTCAGCAATGCTTTGATGCACTGTTGCACTGTCATGGGAAATCAAGTGCCAAGTGCTTCTGAAACAAGTTATTAATCACAACCTTTAATTCAATATTGGGTAACAAAGCCCCTTCAAGTACACTTCTAGCCATCAGTTATGTTCACAGAAGAAGGAAATGCTTGTAAAAATGAAATATGTTGACTTATCATCATGAAGCCACCGATCACAACCGTTAGCGCTGGAAACACGGTAAGTGTTCAGTTCTCAAAGGCAGAGGTCCATTATCATAATAACCATTTTAACAACAACAGATGACATTCGTATTGTGCCTTTCAAATGGGAGTAGAGCATTGATCCTTCTGGTAAACACATCAAACTTTCTGAAAGACTATAACAGGCAAATTTAATGCTGCGTTTTCAGATGACAGCAACTTGCATTTATATAGTGCCCTTCCACGTGGGGAGGCGTCTCAGAGCACTTAACAGCTTAACACCGAGTTGGGGAGAGATGCCCCGTAGGCACAGCAGAAGAGGAAGATCTTCGTGTGCGATCTGAAGATGGGGAAGAGATATTGAGGAAGAGAGTTCAATAATTTTGGGATGTAGTGGCTGAAAGCAGGCAGTCTACGATGGAGTAGAGGGATGAGGGATGTGCAGGAGGCTGGAGTCAGCTAAACGAAAGCAGAGGGTAGTGGGGTGGGGTGTAATTTGGTCGGAGAGGTAAGCAGACAGATGTTTTTATTAACTCTTTGAGATCGGAAAACATGTAGTCACTCCGAGATGCCATCTGGCCTGAATGGCGCTATATAAATGCAAGCTGTTGTAGTCATCTGCAAAAAATGACTGATGATCCAATTTACTACAAAAGAAAAATAAGTAATCATTAAACTCTCATTTTGTACGTACCTGCGAAGATGGCAGTAAGACTCCCCACATCATCTTGTATACGCAATTGTAGTATTTCCTGAAGCAAAGCTTCACATTGACTCTCTTCATGAATACCGATTCGTTTCAATTTTCCAGCAGTGAGTCTCAACAAAACCCGCCCTGTGGTAAAAAAGATTAGCACTCAGACACTGAACCTTTTTACTTGTTAAACATTTGTAAATAGTATCCTTATTTTAATGCATCTAAAATTGTAATTTCTGATTTATTTGATATACTACAAAATAATGAATAATACTCCTTGCAGTTGATGTAGCACTTTTCACTTTTGGAGGTTGTTTCAAAGCTCTTCAAAGGATTTTTTTTATTGTGAAGTGTCAATTCTGTAAATTTTGTACGTGAACACAGCAATCAATTTCCATATAGCATTGTCCCACAAACAGCCATGATACAAATTACCAATTTTACTTGGGGGATTCTTGGTCAAGATGCTGGGAGAAATTCCCTTCTAGTTTTGGATAGTGTCATGGGATGTTTAATGCCACCTCAACAGACAGACTGCATCTCCAATAATGCAGCACTCCTTAAGCACTGGGTTCGAATTGCCAGCTTAAACAGTGGTGACCTCCCTGTGGCTCTCGTAGCCCTCAAGAATTTGATTGTTCTTGTTTTTCTTGATCAAATATTTCTCAATTTATGCCAAGAATATTTATTTTGTGGGCCAACGATGAAGGTTGGCCACCGCTGGTCTAGACTGAGTTTAAAGTCCCGACGTGGGTGGTTGAGGAAATATATAGAAATTAACATACAAATATTCCAATCTAAGAAAATGACACTGCCAAGTAATTCAGATGGCAAGTCCCAAATCCTGCAATATAATCCATCCAGGCTACCCTCTGAATGTGACCTTTAGATCTCATCAAACTGCTAAATCAAACTCCTGCTAATCTTCTTTGCCTAGCTTCATGGGTTTCGCATTGCCCTTTGTTTTCATTGAGTAAATCTACCGCTGAATTCCATTGCTCACACCTTCTTAGTGACATATAAAAAGAATTAAAATTGCTGTTGTTAAGTGTAGCATTATTAGATTTAATTAGCAGCATTATCTATGATATGTGTTAATGATATGGACATGGAATAACAATTCACTAAAAGGAAGAAGTAGAGGGTATTCTTTAGTTAAACTAGGTCAAAATGTGGGGAGGTCAGATGGTGAGGTACTCTGGATCTGTCAATTCAGGTAATATATGAATATAATACAAGGAACAGTAGGAGAACCAGGACAGACCCTTGAAACATTCACTCTCCCGTCAGAATCCACAGTCAAATGGCCATTTACAAAGTTTGGTATTAGTCACGAGCCTTGACCCAGTCACAGATTTGTTAAATCTGAAATACAAATATGTATTTTTACTATACAAACACATACCTTTGAAGCTAATTATTTTCCTTCTATTTGATTCCTCTAACTAACCTGTGGAAATGAACATTTCCTGCAGTTTCAGAGATATGACTTTGTGGGCACAATTTACATTACTACTCCATTTCTGATCTTGCCTGTCTACATGAGGAAGCACCAAAACAATGGCGTTTCCCTAATGAACAACCCTCAAGACTTGATGCTAGTTTCTCTCAAAAACCTTCAGGTGGCCCAATAACAAGATTTAAGTAGAAGGACCCAATCAAGCAGAGCAGAAAAATTAGCTTCAAAAGATATGTGTTTGTATCGTAAAAAGACATATTTGTAGTTAGGATTTCCCAATACTGTGGTCAGGGCTCCTAAAAATTAAGGATATATCTTTGGGAGACAGTGAGAGTGTTCAAATCCTACCCAAAAGGATGGGACAAAGTCACCTCTATTTATAGCTTTTAAATGTTCAAAATTAAAGAAATCCGTGTAATCTCAAACCATCTCTTCATAGATAATTCAGGAATTTACCAACTAACTTTATGGTGCTATGGTGGACGATGTGGGAAAAGGAAGACTGTTGATTAGTTATGCCATTTGTTGGAGTAAACCAGAAAGAACTTCACTCTGCAGCAAAGTCATGCTACAGGCAACCAGCAATTGTCTCAAACGAGACATAATGTGGAGAATGAGTCATTTCCCCTGCATACAAATGGATTCCATTCAATGCCAAAACAAAGATTATACTGAAAAAAAATGAACTTCAAAACAGAACGTTCTCTGGTGTTCAATAGGTTGCACTCTCTGCCAAAAAGGACATGCACCATTCCATTGTAAAACAACAGGTCTTCAAAAGAATTTAGGCAAAAATGTGATCTCCTGAGATTATTTCATGAGTGCAGTACCAGAGGTGATCTACAAGAATGATAAACATAAAAAAAATTATCATGATTTCAATCAAGGACTGGGCACTAAACATGTACTATTTTCTCCTTCCCGATCTACAGCCAACTCCCAGCCACAGGGACCAAACCACCACACTTTATTACAAAAGCACAGTAGTATTGAAGTTAGAAAGGTCAACTGGTTTATTGCTGTGATTTGGGGTGCGTCCATTTCAGATCCTTTCTTAAAGCAACTCTATGAATTGCCCTTGAGCAGGAATCTATTGTGAACATACATTTAATCTTAAATACATTATCCTGTACCTTTGACAAGGAATGCACTATAAATCATAAATGCCCAATGTTTAAACTCTGGTACTCTGGTGCCACCCAGAGTTTGTGCTATTGAATAACAACAGAATCTCAGAATGAATACGATAATTGTTTCAGGTGTATTTTTGACGGACAACTTTCAGAGCATTGCAATGAGAAATAAACATAAATCTTGCATTCAAAGCATTTTACATGTGACAAGAAGGCGGGTGTCATATTAGGAGGCCTATATGTGTTTTTTTTCCCCACTAATAATATTGTATGCATTGCATTGCAGGCAATTTGGAAACATGAGTATACATTTATTGTGTAAACAGTTGAGTGTCTACTGTACGAAAAGCACTCCTCAGTTTTCATACTTGTAAAATTATATTGCGAAAAGAGATTAAAAATTGATACTCTAACTGATTTATTTGTCATAGAAAGGTTTGTGGTAGCAATGATAAATGCCTCCATGAATCATTCCATATTACACAAAGATTAGCAATTATTCAACGATACAAATTTAATTTGACCACAAGTGTGCTTTCTTTGAAATTGCTGGAATTGTTATGGTGATGGTACAACAGAACAGAAATAAAATGTTAGAAACATATAGATGAATCGTTTTTGTAATCAGAATGGATTCTGAAAGCAGAATAGATTGGAATATGTGTTTTGTTTAATTTTTAAAAAAATACCCAAATTAATTTCCAATCGAGGTATCATAACTATATTAATTTATTTATAGGTGAATAATGTGGCTGTTACCAGCCAGTTACATACACAGAAACCAAAGTACTAAAGCATTTAGACTTTTCCAACCTCAATAAAAACAAAACTTAATATTTGAAAACAACATGAATTAAACTTCCAGAAAGCTATCTTCTAGTTGCATGTGTAAGGTATAATGAGCTTACACTTTAGACCAACCAGACACCGCACATTCACCTGACCAATCTATTGCTCAGTATTTTGCTTAGACGATTTTATAATATATTTTCCTTCCATTGTGCATTGCTTCTGCTATCCCCAATTGGATATAAAATCCAAGAGCAGAATTATAGCAACATTAAAACTATCACTTTACACTGTTGCTTCTAATCCTCTGACACACTTTGATACAAATAAGACAAAGAAATCCTAAGGGTTTTGTTGAAATTAATTCATATATTGATTATTTTACTGTATTCTTGTATGTTCGATATCCCTCAATTATCAAAACTAACAAGGTATGTTCAGAGATTACTATGTTCAGAAATATTTTATTGATAACTTTGATTTGAAGATAACTTACAGTCATTTTTATATATTCAACTACTTTCAACTCAAAACTGACCCTAACTTGAAGTATTAATATAAACAAGCTCAAGTTGATTTGTGTGTTAGCCTGACTCAGTGGTAGCACTTCTCATCTCTGAGTTAGAAGGTTGTGGGTTCAAACCCCATGTTGGCACTCAGAATCACATAATCTAAGCCCCTTTATCAATTGTAAGGATTATTATTATTAACAAATGCAAGAATTGTCGATATTATTATTTTCACTACTATTATCGTCAATGTCCCTTGAGCACAAAGACAAGGTTCTTGGTCCTTATCGCTACCCAGACCTACTGTAAGGAGGATCAGGATTATGATCCACTGTGATGCCCTCCCAACAGCCAAATAGAACACCTGCCTGGTGTAAGAGACAAACTGAGAAAGAAGAACTGAAACTTCTTTTAAAAATAATTTCCAAAATGAACCAAGTGACCTTATACCACAGTGGTCAGGATATTCATGCAACAGTCATTGCATTTTAAATCTCAACAGTCCTTAGCATTTTTATATGAAAATGAAACTATTCCAAATAATGCTTGCATTTGATATAGCGCCTTATCACATCATTAAATTAGCTCGAAACAGTTCACGGGATTTACTGTAAAGTGTAGTGACTATATTTGTACATAAAATCAACCTTAACTTCCTTCTTCTATTTCAGTTTTTATTAAATCCTTGATCAGTCCATATACCACCACTCCAATTAGCTCAGGGCAGATCAAAAATTAGATTCCGTCTTAATTCCATGGACTTTGGCAGAAATACTTTCCCTCAACTTGGTTCCCACAATGAAATCGATTTGAGCAAGTGATAATCCTTTAGGTGTTCCTACATGGTTACACAAGTCACATCTGAAAATAAATGTGATGACCTATAAGCAAGAAACTTCTGAGACAACATTTTTTACTTGGAAGTACTTGTAAAAACATGTTCCAGCAATGTGCCTCAAGTCTCTCGCTCTCTTGGAATCTGAATAAAACACAACTGGATTTGATGTAGCATTTATTGGACTACACCAAACTCAACTATACTTCAATTCTACACTTCAAAATTCCTGCATTATCAAAAGATCCCTTACTAATACTCTCTCAAGCTCCGAATACTTTGTACTTCTCGCTCCCTCTACTCAGCAGGCTCTGGCCTGCTCCACATCCCCTGCCCGGCCCACCATCGGCGGTCGAGTCTTCAGCCTCTCTGCCCCCAGCCTTCAGAACTCCATCCCATAGCCCCTTCACCTT